CCCTGGAACTGGAGTTAAGGACAGTTGTTAGCTGCCATGTGGGTGCTGGGATTTGAACCCGGGTCTTCTGCAAGAACAGCCAGCGTTCTTAAGTGCTGAGCCATCTCTCCAGCCCCCCCTTTTTTTTTTTAAGACAGGGTCTCCCTTTAGTCCCTGAGTGCATTATGTAGACCAGGCTGGCTTCAAACTCACAGAGATCCTCCTACCTCTGCCTCCCGAGTACTGGGATTAAAGGCAAGGCGTGCACTACCACGCCCTGCATTATGTATTATTTTTATTTTGTGTGTATTAGTGTATTGCCTGCATGTATGTAATGCACCCATGTGGTGCAATGCCCATGGAGGTCAGAAGAGAGCCTTGGATTCTTCTGAAACTGGAGTTACAGGTGGTTGTTAGCTACTTACTATGTGGGTGCTGGGAACTGAATCCAGGTCTTCTACAAGAGAAGCCAGTGCTCTTAACCACTGTGCCATCTCTCCAGCCCCCTTGTTTTGTTTTTGAGACTGATTCTTTTTTTAAAATTTTTAAATTTTTAAATTTTATGTGTATGAGTGTATTGCCTACATGTATGTGAGTGCACCCGTGTCATGCAATGCCAAGGAGGTCAGAAGAGGGCTTTGGATTCCCCTGGAAATGGAGTGAAGGACGGTTCATAGCCACCATGTGGGTGCTGGGAATTGAACCCAGGTCCTCTGCAAGAGCAGTCAGTGCTCTTAACTGCTGAGCCATTTCTCCAGCCCCTTGAGATTGGTTATTACTATGTTGCCCATGCTGCTCTTAAACTTGTGAGTGTCCTGCCTCAGCCTCCTGAGTGCTGGGAGTACAGGCTTGTGCTACCACGGCCAGTAGAAACATTGCTAAGAAGACAGTTCCTGTTCTTGTGCAGTGGCTGCTATAGTGTAATGTACTCTGAGAGGTCTTCTTCAGGCTGAATGTTTGTCTTCTGCTCTTGTCTGAACCAAAGACAAAGGAAAGTGACAGGTGTTCCTTGCTGCCACTAACAGTAACGTTTACCTTACTGTACATGAGTAACTGCTGCTGGCTCCGGATTAAGGCAGAACTATGAGTACTGTTTCAGATGAGGAAACAGGAAATAGAGCATAGGGTTAATAGCATAGGCTCAGACATTGGACTGCCTGGGTCTGAATCCTGGCTTTACCTTTAGTGCTAAGTAGCTGTGACATTCAGCAAGTCACTCAGTCTCTGGACCCATTTCCTCATCTGATACACACATGTTTTAATCAAGTAAGGGTTTCAAAGTGTTTAGAACCCTACCTGACACTAGTAAGAGTTTTATATACTTAAAATAAGAAAAATGCACATAAGACCTTATCACTAGTTCTTGACAGATCTGATTTGGATCTGCGCATTTCTGATTCCAAAGCCTGAGGACTGTCAACTGGCACTGTGCTGCTTCCCTTTGGCATCAAGACAGCCATGAATGAAGACACTGCTGGCTCCATAATATAAGAACAGTACTAAGTCCAGCACATTTGGTTGTTTCTGTCAGTGCTTGCTACCAGGTGGAAGGATTAGAGGCAGAATAAGAAAACAGGAAGTGAGGGTTTTGGGGTTTTTTGAAAAGCTATATTTTTCTCTCTTTTTTAAACTTTATTTTTATTTTATATGAGCATCTCTCCAGCCCTACCCCCCCCCCACTTTTTTGTTTTTTTATCTTTCTGAGATAGGGTCTCCCTGTAGCCCCAGCTGGCCTGAACTCCCTGTGTAGACCAGGCTGGACTCAATCTCAGCAGGACTGCTGGCATTAAAGGCATGCGCCACCACACCATCTGGTTTTAATGTTTCTTTTTGTGTAGACAACTATATATGGTAAATAAGGAGATGGCATTTCAAATATATTTCCAGATGTTTGGTTTTGCCTTGACATACTGGGGTTTGGCTTCTCATGTGACCTTGGAAGTCATGCAACCTCTAGCATGTAATTCTAGGGTGGTAGTTAACTCCAAAGAAGTTTGACATCTTTGGCAGAATTTTTCTACAAAGTTCCATGTTTAAACCCTTGTTATTTTGAATTTTAAGCCAGTTATTCTGATGGTACATTCACCATGATGCCTTCCTGGGGTCAGCTGTTGATTTAAATTGAGGGAGTTTGTGAATAAGTTCATGAACTTCTGGTCTCACAGTCAGGTACAGGGCATGTCGTCTTGAGCACCAGCAGAGCCCAGCATTGCTATCTGAACCAACCTCTCCTGAAGTTTCTATTTTGAGCTAACTGACTAGCACTGCTCTAGACTGTGGGAATGCAGAAGAGAGTGAACCTAGGGACGCTAAGCCAGGCACAGTGGCACATGTGTGGTTTGGAGGCTGAGGTAGGAGGAGAGACCAAAAACAACCAAGTAGACTAATCAAGTTGTAACAGTTGGACTTAGAAAGATGCAGCAGAGTAGGGATAAAATGAAGAGGAATGGCCGGGCGTGGTGGCACACGCCTTTAATCCCAACAGTCCGGAGGCAGAGGCAGGTGGGTCTCTGTGTGTTCCAGGACAGCTGGGGCTACAGGGAGACCCTGTCTTAAAAAGACCAAAAAAAAAAAAAAAAAAGAATGAAGGTAGAATAGAGAGGTAAAGATGGGGTGGGGTGTGCCCTAGAGAGGTAAAGATGGGGGGTGTGCCCTAGAGAGGTAAAGATGGGGGGCGTGTGCCCTAGAGAGGTAAAGATGGGGTGGGGTGTGCCCTAGAGAGGTAAAGATGGAGGGGCTTGCCCTAATGTAACAGGTTTTTGAGGAAGACTTCAGAAGAGATGACCTTTGAACTGAGGCTTGGGTAGTTCAGCACTTGAGAGAAGCAACTTTATGGAG